CAAAACAGGCAGGATCTCCAAGTTGCAATCAAGTCAATTACCACATACAAAAGAGTATTTGTCATATACTTGGGAGGAATTAAAAGAGCCACCCTTGAAAGCTTAATCAGTATTTATGTTTTCATTTCCAATCTCATTATGGCTGCTACTGCAGACAGACTGTGTGGAAGGGCTCCAGGCAGGTCCCATACACCTTCTGCACAATCTTGCCAAAATCTGAAGGCCCAGACCTGAGCTGAAAAAGGGCTCACACAGACGGGATGAGGGACTGGGGCAGGGGGGTGTGAAGGAAGGCTGCTCAGGTTCCTGAGTCTCTTTTTGTGCAGCCTTCCTTCCCAGCAGGGGTTGTTACATCTCCTAGAGACCTAAATCTGAAGGGTGACTTGCTGGGAGCTGTAAGGGGCCACAGATTCTCTAGACCGGCAAGGTATGGCTGTGTGTTCCAGATTGCTCTACTGTAAAAAGAAAAAAAAAATTTAAAAAATCCATTCCCCAAAACCCTATTCGTTGCTGTTAAGCTTACACACTCATTTGGACCAGAGACAGCGGCATGCTGAGAATGTCATTCCATTACAACACTGCCACCTCTTGTTCTTCTGCTGGTTTCATTTTTGCCCAGCTCCAATCTGTGGTGGATCCACCACCAGCAGAAAGGCACAAAGTCTCCACTACTTTTGTTAAACTGAAACCTTACAAGGAAGAGCACCTGGCTGGACGCAATATAATGTACTTCTATACAAGTTGCAAAAAAGTAGAATGCTTGAAGACATCCACATATTCTATCAATCAGTGTTGATTAGTCTGTAACTATTTTCTCTGCTAACTCAGAGAATGAGGTACTGGAAGAAATGGGGTGGGGAAGGAGGGGGAAACAAAGCAAACCTACCAAACAACAAGAAAACACCCCAGAATGTGAAAAGCAGCAAAATCCACCTCAGGAGAAAATGTCATGGGATTTGTCCACTATATGTGAAATACATTTTATCCATGCAATGTTATCTCCAAACTCTGTGACTTCTGATGTGAACCTCAGTTTTCCTCTCAGTACTTGTGCAATCTGTTACCCCAGGGACTGCCACCCTTTGGCATATATTTTCCAAATGCTGATTAAAGAAGAGCACTGCCTGCCTCCACCAGGAACACCAAGCCTGAGAATTATGTAGAGCCTTCTGAGGAAGACTTAGCTGCAGATAAATAATGTAAGCTGATTGTCTTTGGGTTTTGACCAGGTGGTCTCTGGGAAGAGGTTTACTCTAGAAGAAGGAGGATCACACTGTGCTCATAGGTATGACATGGGGAAAGCCCACAGATGGCAAGGAAAAGAGACAAACTGGACAGACTGGCTGGGCCTCTTTGTCCAGCTGCTTGATGTTCAACTAGCTCTTCATTGGGGTTTGACTACTGACACAGATGGGGTTTCTGCATGGATTCCTTGATTTCTAGCACTGTATTTAATTTTTATTTATTTCAGCTAGCAGTTATATATAACACTCCCTTGAATTAACACTTTTTTCTAGACTTGTTCATGATGTCTCTCTATGTTTCAGTCTTCATGTGCAGAGTAGCTGAAAACAGGGGTAATGTTTTAGCCAGCATTATCCTTGGGAGCTGCCAGAAGCCTCTGAAGCTGGTGAGTCCCCCAGGCACACAGCACAGATCCCCTGGGCTGTGGGACCATCTGAAACTGCCCACCACACAGAAAGAGATAACCTGACAATCAGCCTGTCAGGAGCAGTTTTCACAACTTTTTCTAGCTGGAAGATTCAGTCAAAAAGAAAAATTTGTTCTTCAGATGGAGTTGGCAGGAGGCAAGCAGATTTACTGTGGTTGACTTCTAATACAATAGGGCTTGAAGCAGCTGGGTTTTTCTACTTCATACTCAGTAAACACAATAATTCTGAACCACATTTATTGAATCTAGACTTCCTTGCAATCCCCTCTGGTGTCTAAATCCAAGATGAACCCTCAAAATCTGTGCTTCTTCTTTTGGGCAGGTTGTATGCAGGGCCCACCTTGGAAACACTACTCAGGTGAAATCAGAAGATATTTAAAATTTTTAAAAAATGTGTAATTTAATGTAATTGATTTTGAGTGAAAAATACACAATTGCCAAATCTGTCCTGACTCCTACAGCACAAGTTTCTCTCCTGACCTATTTTTTTTAATCTCTACAATAGAAATATCTGTAATGTCATGTAAATGGTCATCTATAATCAAGATAAGAGCCCTCAGGTTAGTGCATACAATATTGCAGAGAGTATTGTCATAATGTCAGTATCATGAAAGCAATCCCAGAATCCTGATTCCTTAAGTTAGGTTTTAGATTTATGATTTTGATCTTTAGGTAAACCTCATTTATCATTTTGAGCACTATAATCTGTCAAAACAAGAACTATAAAATCAATATATAAGATGAATATTTCTTGATATATTTTAGTCCAATATTTCATGCTTCAGTCCAGTTCTGTGTAAATACACCTTCAATAAATCCTACATGTAGTCAATCTACACAAGCTGTTCATTGAGATGCTTGTGATACTTGGGGCTGGACACAGCCATTGATTAAGAAAGCCCTTAATAATCTAGTTTTACCTCTGAATGATCCTGAAGTAAAAACATTGTACCATATAAGGAAGCAAAAGGGGATGTTTCAGATGAGGGAAGCATGGAAAAATTATCCTGTATGGGAAAATTAAATGCATCCAGAAATTGGTGCCAAGGAGTGAAGCTGGGTGGCTTAGCTTACATCCTGGATTTTAAGTACAAGTTATACAAAAAAACCCACTCTGTTAGCTACTATAAGTAAAAAGCTGGATTTAAAGGATGTAATTGTATGGACACTCACTAGCAGTGCTCTGTAGCACAATAAATACTGACAGAACCATAAAACAGCCAGAGTATAAAAAACCCTGAAATATAAGTCCTTGTTATTCTTTGTATGGGAACCAGAGATGCTACAAGAATTATTTCATTATTCATTGAGAAATTAAGGACTCCTATAATATCTCTGGGAAACACCATAGAAAACATCCACAAGCAGTTACAAGTTTACAAAAGCTGGCGCTTGGCTCCAGCCCTGCAAATGCACAATCACACACCTCCCCCAGAGGTGTCACTCACCCGAGGTCGCAGAAGCTGCAGGCAGAGCTGGCTGCCACTCCTGACTGTTCTTGCCGTGGTCAAAACATACCCATTTCTCTTTGTCAAGTCCTCCCTGAACAGTGTTCATACCAAGTGCACCATGGCTACTGCTCTAATCTAACCCTCCCCTCCTGAGTCCCTCACATACACAGTCCCCCAGGCCGGTACTCCCTTGCCCATGAATGGCAGACCTCAGTCTTGTGGCCCCACCTGTTAAAACAGCCTTCACACTCTGGGTGTTTTCAGATGTCCTTTATTTTTTCCTTCTCTGGGCTAAGAAGAGCTCAATCCAGTCCCGAAAAATAATAGCCTCTTTTTGAAGTCAGCTACTCTGTACCTGTTTCAGTCAGAATTGTTTATGCGCTCTTACTGTTTAGAAATAAAGCAGATGCCTTACAGCAGAAGCCTTTTCCTCACAAAACTCTGGGTTTCTCACCTATATTTGTGCTCTTTTCAGCATGAAATATGAAATTCCCCTGTATGTCTTTCCCTGGTGTCCGCTTTGGCCCATGCAGTCCCTCATCTCCATGCTGGTAGAATTAAGAGCTGATTCTCACAAAGACACCCACAGATGAATTGTGACAAAGGAGAGGCAAGAAATTCCTTCCGGCATCCATCATTTACTGTAATCTAACACAAAGTAACATAGGTGATCCAGCTCATGGTAGCTGCGTCCCACACACTGCCTCCCCAGACAGGTCCCTGCAGCCGGCATGTGCCCTGTCCTCTCCCAAAGGAAAACCTGAGGTCCTAAGCCTCTGTATTTGTCACAGTCCCTCTGGGTCCCTGTGGGGTGGAAGCAGACATCATCTGAACAGCACCAGAACACATGAACCTTGGTTTCTAGTCCTGTCCTGACCTGGCTGATAGCCTGGCTAAAGCACACAATAGCAGATGTTTAGTTTTGGACATACCCTTAGCCTCTTCCTCTGAGTGCTAGGTATTCCCATGTGCGAATTAAAACACCCGAAATAGAGTCATCAGAACACTGACTTTATTAATAGAGACAAACAAAGGATTAAAACACGTTATGAGTTTGCTGAAAGACACAGTGTACCTGTGGAGGACAGACATATTTATGTACATCAGTTCATTGTAGAAACATGAGTAGGATATCCCCAGGTAGTTTGCAACGAATCCAGACAGCTTTCTCTCCGTGGTGGCCCTGGTAAAGCAACCGATATCCCCCCAGCCCCACCCCAGCCGGGCTAGTGCCGGACCCCCTGCACGCCATCAGTGTCTCATGCCGGGCTTTCTACAGCACAACAGGGTGAGCGCAGCTGGGTTTGGCCTGAGCCCAGCGGTGCGGGTGAACCCCGCCGAGGGCTGCAGGCTGCTTGCTCTGGGGTGTGCCGAACTGGGTCCTCTCAGGGGGAGGCGAGAGAGGGGCCCGGAGTGCTTTGGGCACACCCGCATCCCGCCTGGCCCCGCTACCCCCAGCCACCTCAGGGGCGTCCCTGGCCCCGGCTCCTCCAGCCGGCACTGGGTGGAATTTTTTCCGCCCGAGGAAGGAGCCGAGCAGCCCGGGGCATGGCACGGGGCCAGAACGGCTTCCCGGCACGGCTCGGCACGGCTCGGCACGGCTCGGGTCTGCACTGGGACGGCACTGCAGCTCCCGGGACCGGCGCCTCTGCTCCCAAGGCACGGCCCGGGGTTTTCCTGGACGGACAAAAAACAAGCGGGGGAGGAGAGGAGGGAGAGGACGGGGTGGGGCGGGGGAGAGAAAGAAAACAGCTCCACGGATGTCGGATGTCACGGACGGCGTTACACGGGCAACGCGGGGGCTTCTCGCCGCGTTTCTCGGGCGGAGGAGCTGCGGGAGTCGCCGGCACGTCGGGGCGGCCAGACGTCAGTGCCTGCCCCCGCGGCGGCTTGTCCCGGGACTCCTCAGCTTACAGGCACTTGAGGAGGAAGGAATTGCACGACGTCCCCCGGGGGCAGTCGCAGAGCTTCCCGATGCGAGCCCCCTTCCTCACGGCGCACTGCTCCCCGGCGTCGCACTGCGGGCAGCGGCCGGCCGTGAGAGGGACCGCCAGCAGCGGCCGCCCGGCTCTGTCCCGTCCGTGCCGTGCCGTCTAGCCTAGTCCCATCTCTCCCGTGTCGTCCCGTCCCGTCTAGACCAAGTCCCTTCCCTTCCCTTCCCTTCCCTTCCGTCCCTATTCCGTCCCGTCCCTATTCCGTCCCGTCCCGTTTCCCCTCCGTCCCCATTCTATCCCTTCTCCATTCTGTCCCTTCCCGTCATTTCCCGCAACGTTCTGCTCTGCCCACTTCCCCATTCTATCCCTTCCCCATTCTGTCCCTTCCCGTCATTTCCCGCAACGTTCTGCTCTGCCCCCTTCCCCTTCTTTTTTATTGCCTTCCCGGTCCCGCCGGGACACCCACCATGGGCACCTGCCCGAACTTCTTCTCGTAGTGCGGTCCCCTCTTGCTCTTGAGCTTCTCCAGCACCTCCTGCAGCGCCTCGATCTGCCGAGAGACCACAGAGCCGCCGTCAGACCGCGCCCGCCCGCCGGCGCCCCCCGCCCGTCCCGGCTCGGGCCACAGAT